AGAAAATTAAATATAATGAAACTTATTCTTGTGTTACAGAAAAGCATATAGAATCTCACAATCTATCTTTTTATTTGCTGAAGCATTACTGGTAATGTTCATGCCAATGCTTTACCAGAAGCCATGTGGAAGAAGACATACTAATACATTTCTAAACATCTAACTTTCTGTAGAGACCTGGGGATTCCAAATTCATTTTTTCCCCCAGAATAGTACTAATATGTTAGCTATCTGCTATCCTCCTCTTCCTTCCTAGCTATTGAACATTATATAGAACATTGTGAATAGACATTATATTCGAAGATTTTTAAAACCTGCAGCTGTGGCTACTAAATGCAAATTCAGAAAACAAGGGATACAAACATTTAAACAAACATGTTCTCCCCATGTGTATTTCTTAAACAGTACAGTTTTCTTCAAATAAGACTTATTATAGAATTTGCATGTTCTTTCCTAAATTTTCCAAGGCCTCTTTAAACTAAACTTTGTAGTCAAATTATGGTTAATTTTTTCAGCAAAATATAAAATCAGTTAACCGTTAATCCAGAATTAATATCTATCACTTGAATTATTTTATGTCCCTCATATCTTAATAACAACTCTTATTCTCAGTTAAAATCTTTGTATACTAAGGAGCAAGGTATGTATGGCTCCAATGGAATTTCATCTTAGGATATTCATTGTTGCATTCTTTATTCGTCTTAATCATACCACAGCATTTGTAGAATCACAATATGGCCAGTTGACTTGTGATAAACAATGGGAAGGCAAACGAAGAGGTAAAGAAGCTTTGCACTGAACAACAATGCAAGTGAAAAGACTTGGTCCAGAGACACAGTGAGAATCACTTTGCCATATATTTGATCCTTTTCCTGGTTTTTCCCTTGTTAGGATTGTGCAGAAACTTTAATAAAACATGATGCAGAAATGAATACCAATGCAATACATGTACTTTTTGTATGAATAATTGTTCACAACACTAAATCTAAACAGCTGGAACCAAGACCTACCTATAATATACCCTGAATATATTAAGGCTGGAATAAGTTTCAGACAATGTCTGTGTTAAAGCTGGAATGAGGCAGAACAGAGTCAGTGCATGGAAAAATAATGAAATATCATAGAGAACATTCTTTTGTTTTAAGTTTTATTGTCCACATCTTTACAATATCTGAGAGAGAGCTGAGTGATGCATAAATTTGATAAATAAATAAAATCTGTACTCAAATAATATATAAATGCCATGTCACTTATGAAAAATGAAATTAAAGGCACAAATCATGGGTTTCTATGTTTTTCTATGCGTCTATAAAATTCCATCAGTCAGGCAGCACAAAGTGTATTTAAATATTTACTTCTTTAAAAATTAGTGTGATACAGAAAGTGCCTTCCCACTGGTTTGCTTTTAATGGCAGGTAGAAAAAAATATTAAATTTCTCATGGAAGATGCCTCCAAAGCATCAGCATTTTTTTTTTTTTGGTAATGTATAAATTATCCACATGTGTATGTCACTCTAATCCTGGCAAATAGATGGGGAAGAAATGGAGGTAATGACAGATTTTATTTTCCTGGGCTCCAAGATCACTGCAGATGGGGACTGCAGCCAAGAAATTAAAAGACGCTTGCTCCTGGGAAGGAAAGCTAGGGCAAATCTAGACAGCATACTAAAAAGCAGAGACATCACCCTGCCAACAAACGTGCATATAGTCAAGGCCATGGTTTTCCCAGTTGCAATGTATGGCTGTGAAAGTTGGACCATAAAAAAAGCTGAGCACCAAAGAATTGAGGCCTTTGAACTATGGTGCTGTAGAAGACTCCTGCAAGTCCCGGTGACTGCAAGGTGATCAAACCGGTCAGTCCTAGAGGAGATCAACCCTGACTGCTCTTTAGAAGGCCAGATCCTGAAGATGAAACTCAAATACTCTGGCCACCTAATGAGAAGGAAGGACTCACTGGAGAAGAGTCTAATGCTGGGAAAGATTGAGGGAAAAAGAAGAAAGGGACGACAGAGAACAATGTGGCTGAATGGAGTCACTGAAGCAGTAGGTGTGAGCTTAAATGGACTCCAGTGGATGGTAGAAGACAGGAAGGCCTGGAGGAATGTTGTCCTTGGGGTCATGATAGGTCAGATACAACTTTGCAACTAACAACAACATGTCACTCTAAAGAAACATTTAAGGCTATCATGATCATAAAACATGTCTCCATGTTTCAACTAGCTAAAGTACGGTTGTGTATAATTTGTGTGGCATGGAAGTCACAGACCTATGAAAGAGAGCTCATAAGTACATAAAGTGCATGAAGCTTACCAGGCTGTTTGCTGTTTGCTGCAAGGAGGCAAACTGCTGGGAGGCAGAGGCAGATTTTTTTTCTTGTTTTCCTCTCCAAAAGCTAGGTGCATTTTATAGTCCAAAAAATACAGTATATACAACCAAATCTTAAAACAAATTATACAATCAATATGCAATCAAGTAACTAAAAGAGTTCAAAAGACCACAACATATTTTATTACTGCTTAAGTTCTTATTTCACATGTGAAGGATAGAAAACAAAGGACATATTATTAAATGTATATATTAAATATTTCTCTCTTCTCCACACTACTGCCACCAAAATGTTTCATGAAGTTAATATAATTTTAATGAGGTGTTTAGTGCTTTCATTTATCAGTTTATAGGAAAGTGCCTTGTATTAAAATACACTATTATAATATTCAAGTTGACCTTATTAAAATATGGAATCTAATTTTTACCTAAATGAAAGAGTTTCCCCTAAGGCTTCCTATAACAAACTGAGAAGCATTTGTTGATTAAGTAAAGTTGCAGTCACGTCTTAAAATCTTGAGTGAAATACTAATTGGTCAAATGAAATATACTATGTTTGGAAGCAGTTTAAGAATCTTGCTTTTGATTAGGAGAGATAAGAAGAAGAGAAAACTGATGAATCACAGGAGAAAACTACTTTCAATTAAGTTAATTTAACCCAGACTGGCTGACATTTCTCCACATGGTGTACACAGACATTTTCTTTCCCAAAAGGACTATAGTTCTTAATGAAATTCCTACCTGACATTAATTTCTTCATCTGATCTTGTATATTTTTAGCTATTAGACTCAACTTGCATTAATCTAACATATTGGTCATGCGGTGAGAACACACAACTAAGTCAACAATTCAATATAACTCCACTGTGATGTAAACATAAAATACTTCTTGCTTGCCAATAAGATGGATAGTCTGTCCATATGGTGTGCACATCTATATATTCAGAAGTCTCCCATTCAATGGAAACAAGACCTTGAATGTGATCACTTTTCTAACCTCAGGGAGAAAGGCAATATCGGGGTAGTTTATAACAGGAATAATCCACCTGTTTAGAAATAAGCTTGCATCTTTATATTCTGAGTGCCTAATACTTTGCTGTGTAAGTCACAAGAGGAATGCTCTTTTTCAAATATCCAAATCTAAAAATAATGTAAGTTTGTAATTTCAGGTATCTTCCAGTACCATACCTGCGTAGCTTACATACATCTCTGTATTAACCTACTTATTTTTGCTTTCCTACATCCCCCTTCCCCCTTCTGATCTTGGTTTAAAAAAATAACAATACAGAGCTTTATGAGGAAAGGTAACACTTCTGGGAGTTGTGTGTGGCAAAAATAGCTCAGGCTTTATTAGGAAATCCTGCTTCATCTTCACACTCTCTACTGGGATGATATGGCTGACTATAAAATAATAAAGAGAAAATCAGTGAGTTGAGGGAACAGTTTTGAACAACTCTTAACTTTTCACAAAGTGGTCAGACCAAAGTCTTGGTTTGATTTGTCTCACAGTCTCTCCCCCCAATTTAAATGATGCCATCAATTTAAATTCATGTTGAATACTATTACCAATGAAGTAATATATATAGGTCAAAAATACTGATTGTGTAAAATAGGTCCCTTTTGTAATGAATATTAGTATTTTTATGTACCAAACAACTCCAATAAAGGACTCTATTGTGAATGGGGGGAAAGAAAAAGAAAGAATCAGTGGAAACTTTTAAGAAGGGACTGGACAGCCACTTGTCTGAAATGGTATAGGGTCTCCTGCTTGAGCAGAGGGTTGGACTAGAAGACCTCCAAGGTCCCTTCCATCTCTGATATTCTATGTTCTATGTATGGTAATTCTACTAACAATAGGGAAGAGAAATGATAATAAAGGGATACAAGGCTTATGTTAAACAGTTTGGTAACTAAGAGAAGCAAACAACCACTCAAGTCTTCTGGTTTGCATCATTCATTCATTCATTCATTCATTAAATTTTTGTAACTGTCCATCTCACATACATGACTCTGGGCAGTATACAATAAAACTGTTGATTGCTGGGTTTGGTAAAACAATGACAGAGCCATGAATGTTTCCTGGGCCATTTGTTTTGTTAGTCAAAGAATGGAGATAGCTTTTCAATGACTCAGTGATAGGCTTTCATGTCCTGGCTTCAGGGAAAGGAGGAAATGCTGATGTAAACTTGCAGACAAGATGTAGATGTGATGTTGAGGGTTGAGGACAAGGCTCACAAAGCTACCAGAAAGAGAACACATGCTGCAGAAGGGGCCTGGTGAAAAATATAGTAAGGAGGGAAAATGAGGGGAAGTACAAGAAGGATAGAGGGCGCAGTGGCCTAGCAGTTAAGATGATGGGCTTGTTGACCAGAAGATTAGCAGTTTGAGGCCCAAGCCCTATGAGAAGGTGAGCTCCCATTCTTGCCCATCTAGGAGTCTGAAAGCATGCAAAAGTGAGTAGATAAACAGGTACCACTTCAGTGGGAAGGTAGCAACATTCCAAGTGCTTCAGCACATAGTCACATGACCATGGAAGCATCTTCAGACAACAGTGGCTCTCTCGGCTAAGAAATGGAGATGAGCACCACCCAGTGGTGATATTCAGCTGATTCTATCCAGTTCTATCCAGTTCAGGTGAACCGGTAGTGGAAGGTCCTGCGTAATCGTGGAGGTGGTAAGCGTGAACGAAGTGAGTGCTCACATTTGCGAACCAGTAGCGAAGGTAAGTGAATGCCACCCCTGGCACCACCCCCTAGAGTCAGACACAACTGGATGGCGGAAACCCTTGCCTTTACAAGTAGAGGGCTGATATGGATAGAATTTTATATTTAAACCTATTAATCTTTGTCTTTAAAAAATATTGCAGCATGGAATTGGAATGCTAATAATCTGCAGAGTTCTATGCCTTTGGCACAAACTGTCACCAACAATGTATGTTCAAAATTATATTTAGTTTATTAAGACATACAGCAGCAAAGAGAAATGTGCTGGGTTTAGTGAAGAAGGACTAGATTCAAAGAGTAAGTGTAAACTAAGGAAGTATGAGTAAAATCATGAAAAAATAGAAACTTTAGCCTGTGGGAAAGCAGCTCTGAAATAAATTTAATAAAGCTTTGAGCATATCTAAAATAAAATACAAACTTAACTGGGTTTATCTACTGTACCTAAATCAAACAATTGATTCTATTCTATATCTTGAAAAATGTATTCTCTGCAATCCTGGGGTGGACTTTGGCTTTCATTTTCATCCACCATAGCAACAGCCGTTCAATTAAAAAAAAATATAGAGCTCAAGCCACATTCTCCTAACCTATTTAACCACAAAGGGGGAATAGTGTGTGCTTAAGAATTTGATCACCCAGATCTCCTGAAAGACCCAGATCAGTCTAGTGATTAAGGTACCAAGCTAGGAACTGGGTGACTGAGAGTTTTAGCCCCTCCTTAAGCATGAAAGCCATCAGCGTGGCTTTGGGCCAGTCACTCTCTCTCAGCCAATTTACCTCACAGGATTTTTGTTGTAGAGAAAATAGGAGGAAGTAATATTAGGTATGTTCATTGCATTGAATTATTTGTAAAAATAATAAAGGTGGGATATAAATAAATAAATAAATAAATAAACAAATAAGCAAAAACAACCCAGGTGAAAGGCTTGTTACAAGTCAACTGTGCCCGTTACAGATTTCACATTTGTGTGAACTAGCTCACTTAATATAAATTCCTCAGGTTCTCAGCTGTGAGGAGATACATAAGACATTCAGCCAAATTTAGTGGAACTAAACAATACCTATTTAAAGATTCACAGGTGAGCCAGAAAATTGGAATGCTTGTGGATGAAACACACATACACACACACACACACACACACACACAGAGAGAGAGAGAGAGAGAGAGAGAGAGAGAGAGAGAGAGAGAGAGACCCATTACTTTTTATTCTTGCATGTACAGACTGAAGCTTTGTTCAGAAGTAGTGACTTGCTTCTACTTTCCTGACAAATAATACTTTTGCCTTGGAGCAAAAATTTCAGGCATCAGCACTAAAATATTTAGCAATATTGTAGTTTGTGAAGGCAAGATTTAAATATATATACAGTGCCAGTACATTTTTCTGGCAAGTAAATAAAATGTATTGTATTGTCAAGGATGCAGAACTTCATTTCTGGAATGATTTCAGGGAGAGATGAGCACTTCTACAAAGAAAGTTATATCACTGGTTCTTCTTAGATTATAATGAAGGCAAGTAAGGAAAGACATGATAGAAATCCATCAAATTATGCATCAAATGGAATATATGGCCAGAAAGAAACTATTCTCCCTCTTTCACAGAAACTTAGAAGTCAGAATCAAAACACACTGACATTCAACACAGGGAGATTCAGAAACAATAGAAGGAAGTATTTCTTTATTAAATGTATGTTTCAATTATGGGATTCATTGTCATGTGAGAGTTATGATAGCTGCCAATTCAACAAGTGCATGGTGACATAGAATTTTCTGGATGACAGGTAGCATAACTTAAAAACAAACTGGGAAAAAGTTTATATTGCTCTGTCTTCAACTAAGCAGGATTCAGAAACAATGACTACACCAGTATTAGTATTTAAGACTTTATTCCAAAGCAAACTAAGGCAATAATATCCTTATATAACATGAAACATTGTGCTGAGATAGGTGGCTAAAGAAACAAACAAACAAACAAACAAATAAATATGTATGCATACATACACTACATGCATGCATGCATGCATGCATAATAAAAAGGATTTTTAAGAACACAGGAACACACCAAAAAATATTTTATGTCACTTCTATCATTCTGGGAATCCCAAAGATATTATGGTGAATGGCCAATATCAGAAAATATACAACACACTTCTAGATAGATCTTCTTCAAAATTTGTAGGATATTTTGACAGTTTATATAGTAATCTGACTATTACTCACACCTCTTTTCAATAGTTTCATCTCATTGGAGTTTGCCAAGGATAAATTAATCTTATCTTATGCTTGGAATGTTTTATCTAGTTCTGGAGAAGTGGGGACACCATTTCCCCCACTGTGAACCACGCTAAATTTAACTGTACTGCAAGAGCAGTGGGCAGGCCATGGAGCCCCAATAGCAGCAGTGAAGAGAAATGGCCAGGCCGGGCTAGTGTCTCAGGGCTGAGGGGAAATCATGCATCTCCCCATGTGACCGAGGTGTGCGCAGCACCAACAAGGACTGGAAGAAATGCCCATGAGACCCAGCAAGAGATGAAGCAAGTACAGGGGCACTTTGCTCCTGCTCTGAAACATGGAGCAAGTCTGCATCCGCCTCCCTTCCCTTCTCAGGCCAGGCAAGGAGTGACTGGGAAGGGAGAGCAAGGGGCGGGGCCAGCCAATGGTGGGTTCAGCCAATAGGAAGCCACAGCAGGGGAATGAAACAGCTGCGGGTTGCCATCACCCGATGCTTCAGCCCACCTGTGCTGCCACCACCACCACCACCCTGCTTGCTGCAACAGCATCACTACCTCATTCCGGCCGGCGAGGGCTGCGCTACTCCTTGCATGTTGCACCACCTGCAAAGTTGCAAGTTGCACATACCTCCCTCTATGGTGGAGATTTTAAGCCCCACTACAAGCTGCCTAGCCGGTCCCATATTTCAGAGCTGTAGTTTCAGGATTGGTCCATTGGTCATTCTGGAGCAGCTTCTCCACCTAGGTGCGCTGCAGAGACCCCAAAATTTTCTCACAGACCACCAGTGGTCCGTGGACCACCAGTTGGTGACCTCTGAACTAAACAGTTGTATGGGTTTTTTTAATGATTTGCCATTTCTTTGCCATGGTCTCTAAGAATTATTTCACAAGGCTTTTTAAATGGTTCACTAATTGCTAAATCCTCCAAACAGCATTTTTATTATATGTGTCTGATGGCATATGCATACCCACTGGTAGCATATCCTAGGGCTGTGTAGAAATCTGAAGAACTGTTTGATTTGATGACACTTCAACCAAATAACTCAAAGTAATTTCTAGTTAAAGCAAATCTGCAGACTGAAACTTGGGGGCTACTTCAAAATAGGAGCTCAGATTTGGAGCCTTTAAGATATTCTTGAGCTTTTAAAAGCTTTTGCAGCCTTTCAAATAATTTTATTGATGTGATCCTTTTTCAACTGCTTTTAGGATTGTCATACCCGTGTCCCTCCTGGTTGGTACTGGCTTCCCGGGAGGTTACACGAGGCTGGCTCCAGGGTGTTATCAACGCTTCGTTGAGTGAGGGTTACTTCCCCACTGCCTTGAAAGAGGCGGTGGTGAGGCCTCTCCTCAAGAAGCCGTCCCTGGATCCGGCAATATTGGCCAACTATTGTCCTGTCTCCAACCTTCGCTTTATGGCGAAGGTTGTTGAGAGTGTGGTCGCACGACAGTTTCCGCAATTCCTGGAGGAAACATCTTATCTAGATCCGTTCCAGTCGGGTTTCAGGTCTGGGCACAGCACAGAAACGGCATTGGTCGCATTGGTTGATGATCTCTGGAGGGCTCGGGACAGGGGTTGTTCCTCTGTTCTGGTCCTGTTAGACCTCTCAGCGGCTTTTGATACCATCGACCATGGTATCATGCTGCACCAGCTGGAAGAGTTGGGGGTGGGAGGCACCGTGTTGCGGTGGTTCTCCTCCTTTCTCTCCGACCGGTCGCAGTTTGTGTTGGCAGGGGGGCAGAGGTCGACCTCGAGGCCTCTCATTTGTGGAGTGCCACAGGGATCGGTCCTCTCGCCTCTCCTGTTCAACATTTATGTGAAGCCGCTGGGTGAGATCATCCGTGGCTTTGGGGTGAGATACCACCAGTACGCTGATGACACCCAGCTGTACATCTCCACCCCAGGCCACCCCAACGATGCCCTTGAAGTGATGTCCCAGTGCCTGGAGGCTGTACGGATCTGGATGGGGAGGAACAGGCTCAAGCTCAACCCTTCCAAGACTGAGTGGCTGTGGCTCCCGGCATCCCGATATAGTCAGTTGACTCCATCACTGACTATTGGGGGCGAGTCATTGGCCCCCACAGAGAGGGCTCGCAATCTGGGAGTCCTCCTGGATATGCAGCTGTCCTTAGAGGAACATCTGACGGCTGTAACCAGGGGGACCTTTTGTCAGGTTCGCCTGATTCGCCAGTTGCGGCCCTTTCTTGATCGGGATTCCCTGTGCACAGTCACTCACGCCCTCGTCACCTCTCGCCTTGACTATTGCAACCCTCTCTACATGGGGCTCCCCTTGAGGAGCACCCGGAGGCTCCAGCTGGTCCAGAACGCAGCAGCGCGGGTAGTGACGGGAGCAGCATGGTGCTCCCATGTAACACCGCTCCTGCGCGAGCTGCACTGGCTCCCAGTTGTCTTCCGGGTGCGCTTCAAGGTGTTGGTTATCACCTTTAAAGCGCTCCATGGCATAGGGCCTAGCTATCTTCGAGACCGCCTGCTGCTACCAACGACCTCCCATCGACCCGTGCGCTCCCACAGAGAGGGCCTCCTCGGGGTGCCATCAGCCAGACAATGTAGGCTGGTGACCCCCAGGGGGAGAGCCTTCTCTGTGGGGGCACCTACCCTCTGGAATCAGCTCCCCCCAGAGATAAGGAGAATCCAAGACCTCAGTGCCTTCTGTCGCGCCCTTAAAACCCATTTATTTAAACAAGCCGGGCTGGCTTAAGATGAAATTTTTAACTGTTTTTAAATGTTTTAAACGTTTTTAATTGGTAAATGAGTTTTAATTGGGCCAAATTTATATATCTTTTAATTGTTTTTAATATTTGTTCTGCATGTTTTTTAATCTGGCTGTACACCGCCCTGAGTCCTCAGGGAGAAGGGCGGTATAGAAATCCAATATAAAATAAAATAAAAAATAAATAAATGATTATCATTGTTGTAACTTTGGGGAGAAATAATAGCATTGTCTCTGTCATTGAGATGAATAACTAGCCAACATGTTTAGTACCCCATTAACTCTTTATCAGAGCTTCTTGCAAAAATCAAATCCAGAAGCACACACACAGGCAAACTGATTCAGCAGAATTCATTAATTTCTTTATATACATAATAACACATAAAGTAAATTTACAATACCAACAGCAGAGAACAGTTTCACTTCAGTTCAGATCAGCAGACAAGCTAGTTTCATTTTAGATCTGAGCACAGAGCTTAATACAAAGAGAGCCTCCTCTATATAGGGCAGTTAAGCTTCTGCACAGACTCTGTTGCCTAAGCCACATCCAGACTTCTAGCTTAAGTTTCTATTTCTAAACAGCCTTCATTGGCTGAGTCTGTTACCATGTCTCCGTTCAGTCCCCATTGACACTCTTTGCTTTTCATAGGTGGCAATTATTTTCTTCATTCATTTTCTCAGCTTTCACCTTCTTTCATGTTGCTAGCCATATACTTTAATGATGGTTTCTCTCCTTTGTTGATATAAAGTTATACATCTGAGTTGGTTTCTGCTAACAGAACTGGGAGCACACTTCAGCTCTCAGGCTTCTGAATATGAGCTCAGTGCTGATCGTGCTTTTAAATTTTGTAGGATTGGGGCAAATATAAATCTCTTGACACATGAGTGAATGTCTGCTAGACTTACATTTGCAAAAGACAGCCCGAACTGTGCCAGCTTCAAATACAAGGGTGAGAATGACAAGGTTATAAAAGCCACATCTTTTGTGGTTTATTTTATGACATTACACTTCATTGTCACCCTGCTTCTGCTAGCTCTTTTAACTAAGTTAACACTGTCACAACCTTTGCAATAGTAGCTATCCTTTCCAGGAAGGATCATGCTTGTCAAAAACTAACACAAATTCTCTTAGCATCCCCAAAATCCAAATGATCCAAAGGTAGCAAAACTATCCTATCCCATAAGATCAGTTATGTAGTCATTCTTCGGTGTCATTCCAAGCCTGGAAGCCCAGAAAAGCAAGTGGAAAAGAAAGACATTATTAAAAGTAAATGTTTGTATTATAAAATAAAAAGTGCTCTACAAGATAGACATTTTGGACCGTGTTGTATTATGTTTCCCAATCACTGCTATCTATATGTTAGAAGAAATGTTTCTTTGCTTTTGAGGCTTGGAAGTTTGAGTAAGTAATTTACTCTGAATCTTATATCTTCAGTTTGAATTCTTCGTCCTTATACGTAGGTCACAACTAAATTTAGATTTGGAGGAGAGAGAAAGAGAGATGCAAGAGAAATCAACACATCTGAAACATTCAGAGATCATAAAAACTGAGAACACTTCGCTATTAGCAATTGTTGATATTTTTGCAGAAAATCTACCTATCTGGCTTAAGATTCTGTTTTTGCACCATGTGATTATCTCCTTCTGTTATATCTGCCCTATAACTTTCATTGAGATAGGTGCTCATCTATTTATTTGCAGACAAGCAATTGAAAAGTGCTGGAAATTAACTACAGAAAATGTAGTTTGGGGGGCGGGGTGGGGAAGAAAAGAAAATCAGGCTCACCGTTAGGAGCTGTCTTTCCCTGGTTACATTTTAGATGTGGCACGAGAGGGAACATAAGAAGCTGCCTTTGCTGATTTACATCACTGGTCCATCCAGTTTAATGGTCCATTGAATGATAGTTAATAGCTTTTGGTAGATTTAGGCAGGAGCTTTTTCAGCTCTACCTAGCAACTCTTTAAAGCTTGCTAGGAGGAACTATTTTAAAAACACTTTTAAAATAAAGTAGAGCAAAGAGGGGAATCATCCGTACCTTAATTCCAAAACATATTAACTGGAACAGAATCCTGGTGATTTTAAACAATTTATTATCCCAAACAATCCTGTTCTTAACCACTGAGCTACACTGATTCCATTAATACTTCAATACATCAGCAGCCTATCTTGAATTAACTCAAACCAAAGCACTGAAGAAGCTTCTTGGATGAGAAGCAAAACAACTTCAAGGGAAAACAAAGAAAGTCCAGGTGCCTTTTGAAAAACCAAAGCATATAAATATTTCCTGCAACATTTTGCTGTTGTTTAAATATTTACATATGATTTATTTTTGACCAATCAACATATTTGGCTGAATTAGTGTATGTACTGTAGCTCTGTATATACACACATAAATGTACATATACATACAGAAACACATACTGTACATCAGTGGTGGAATTCAACCAGTTCGCACCACTTCGGAAGAACCGGTTGTTAACTTTCTGAGCAGTCTGGCAAACTGGTTGTTGGAAGAAATCATTAGGGCAGAGAACCGGTTGTTAAATTACTTGAATCCCACCACTGCTGTACATATATTTAGACAAACACAAATCTCCATAGGAAAAATAAAAATAAGCAAACACATAAAAGGAGTTAGTTTTAAAAGGATTTAGAACTAAGTAAATAGTTTTGTGGGAATAAAAATATATAGATGTGGATTACTTGGCTATTATTTCATTAACATTTTCATTCACCACAAAAAGATAGCAATTTTCATTTTCACATAAAATCTTGTATGGTTCCAGATACTACAAAAATTAATCTCAGTAGGTTAATTTTGCCAGTAGGTTCAGTGTCAATTATAAATTAGATAAGACCTACATGGGGCAAGGAAATCCCTCTCCCCCTCTGTGTGTGCGTGCGCATGCATGTATACTTCTAATTAAGTGTAAATTAAGAGAATATAGTTGTGCCTTTTAAAAGTCATGTGAGAAATCCTTTGATTCCCGAATGTGTTAAAAATCATGAAAGCAACAATAAAATCTTTAATAGAAAATAAAGTGATAATGACAGTAACGAATAGCAGCTATAACTAATAGATTAACTTTTCCCCAAAAAAAGAAGTCCACAAAAATAGCTCTACACATTTAACAAGCTTTTATAACCTCATTTGCAGAATTAAAGGCATGGGGAAGAGAAAATTGGCTTGGGGTGAATAGCACAGTTGGAATAAAAATTACAATTGAATATAATCAGGCTCCATTCTACTTGCACTGTTGAACATTTTCAGCACAGATAAAACTGGTAGATGTTTTAACTCTGAGCAATTAGTTTTGTCTGAAATATGTGTGCAATTGAGTCACATCTTTTTTTGGATCAATAGTCAAGCCTCATTTTGCAAATGCTGAACTTTACTCATCATTCGTGTCTTGCCCATTAAATCAGTCAAATTTCTATTGTGAAAGCCTAGAAGAAACAATCACACAAATCCCAGAAATTGTCTGTTTAGAATTTCTCTCTTTGGAGACCATGACACTTTAGTGGTTAAGCAATAATCTTTGCATACAGCAGGTTCCAGGTTTAATTTTCTTTTTCATTTTTTAGTTGGACTTTTATATTGTTCTGGGCCATAATTCAGTAAAAAGCCTGTTCTTTTCTATGATGAAGCTTCTGGATGCGAATACTGTCATCTCCAGGTAGGACTGGCAATAAAGAAATCAGCTCAAAACTCTGCATAGTGAAATGTAGTCCTAGCAAGGAGGCAGGAGAATAAGCAACATTTGAAAGCAATAATTCAGAAAAAAAAGGAGAAGCAGGAAGGAGAGGTTAACCCTAACCCTGATACTAAGAAAATGAGAAAAAAAAAAAGAATGAAAGAGGTTTATATGTTTTATTACTGCAATGCTCTCTACATGGGGCTCCCCCTGAGGAGCACCTGGAGGCTCCAGCTGGTGCAGAATGCGGCCGCGCGGGTGATTGTGGGAGCGACATGGCGCTCCCATGTAACACCTCTCCTGCGCGAGCTGCATTGGCTCCCGGTGGTTTTCCAGGTGCGCTTTAAGGTGTTGGTTCTCATCTTTAAAGCGCTCCATGGCTTAGGGCCAGGGTATTTGCGAGACCGCCTGCTGCTACCGATAACCTCCCACCGGCCAATACGCTTTCACAGAGAGGACCTCCTCAGGGTGCCGTCGGTCAGGCAATGTCGGCTGGCGGCCCCCAGGGGGAGAGCCTTCTCTGTGGGGGCACCCGCCCTGTGGAATGAGCTGCCTCCTGGAATACGATTGATCCCGGACCTCCGGACCTTCCATAAAGCCCTGAAGACGTTTTTATTCCACCAAGCCGGCCTAGCCTAAGTGGTTTTTAAATTGGGATTTTAAATTTTATGGATTTGGGGGTTTTAAATTGGGAAGCTAGTGATTTAATTCTTTTTAATTATCTTAACTTTTGTATTTGTATGTTTTTTAATTTTGGCTGTTCACCGCCCTGAGTCCCTTCTGGGAGAAGGGTGGTATACAAATTAATTAAATAAATAAATAAATCATGCACATTAAACTAAGTTATTGTTGTTAACAATTTTATAAAGAACAAAAATCTAGTACAACTCAGTACAACAAGAATGAACTAGCTGGATTAATTAACAGACACAATAGAAAGTAGCCATCTATTTTCTTCCAATCTTGTGCAACCATATCCTTAAATTTTCTTTAATCACACAGGTCTATAAACTATATTCTTATAACAGATTTGCAAAATCTGTAAGAAAATGTATTTCTTACTTTCGTTGCTTGCTCTGTTTGCAGGAGGGTTCTATAGGACTGATTCCATCATTGCTTGCTTTACAGGTACATCAAACTTTATCTAATAATAAGGAGCCTCCTGTCCCTGCACTATAGATATGTTAAATGAAATTAGGTTGGTCCCCATTTGCAACTTATAATTAAATAATGTCGTTCAAATGGAAGATATATTACCAAAGGGAACTATCTAATGTTTCTGGCTGGCAGATGTAGCTACATCTTTTTCAACCTATACTGGATTCTATCCAAGAAGTCTAATCTTGCTAAAATTTAATTTATTTTAATTTAATTAATTCAATTTATATGCCGCCCTTCTCCGAAGACTCAGGGTGGCTCACAATACATTTAAAAAAAACATTATAAAAAACATTTAAAAATTAAAAACATTAAACACATTGAAATAAAAATTAAATAAAAATAAAATTGTTGACTGCTGCTATTAATAAAAACAAGATAATTTTGTAAAAAAAAATCTCACCTCAGATTTGATGTTATCAAGCCAGCATATCCTTTCCTTGCCCTTTCTTCTATGTCTACTAACCATTCCTAGCATCATTGCCTTCTCCAATGAATTCGCATGTATGACATGGCCAAAGTAGATTAGAAGTGATTTTAGCTTCTAGTGATGTTTCTGGTTTTATACAATTTAAAGCTCTCTGTTAGTTACTCTATATATTTAAATCTATGAATATAAATGAATAAATAAATATAATAAATAAATAAGTAAAATTAAACAAAACAAAAACATGGGAAATGCTTGCATAACTCCAAATCATTCCAAATTCAAAAATGTTTCCACTTATTCACCCTCACTTATACACAGACACACTGGCACGCACAAAACAGAGCCATACCGACATTTGGTAATCAGCAATAATCAGGTTATTTCCATTTTATTGCATTCCTTAATCCTCCATACTAGAACATGATAAAAATTGATGTAGATGAGCAAGTTAAAAAAATATGATTTGCCCCTTTTAAAAATTCTCTTGTTCAAGGACAGAGCCAACTCTGTTTATACCACATTTTTATCATGACAGAATCAGAGCAGGGGAAAATAATGTAAGTTCCTCCCCATCCCCTATTCAGACAGAAAATAGCAAAAGTGCCTGTCTTAACTATGTGAATAATGGTAGGAATAGCATTTCAGACAGTTCATACAGAGCTGACACAGAAACACATAGAGAAATACATATATTAATCCAGGGGTCGGTTCTACTTATGCATGCACAGAAGCTTCTGCGCATGTGCAGATCGCTTCTGGTGATGTCAGGGTCAGTGGACGGAGCCTCCCGCCAGTTTTACTACTGGTTCTATAGAACCGGTCCAAACCGGGGGCAACCCACCACTGATTATATCCATATGTACAGAGGTGGGATGAAGGAACTTCATTATGTAGCACATCACAACCATGGGCAATTTGTCATACAATACATTTATTTTCCATTTACTGAATGTTTCTCAGTTCAGTGCAATAACTGTCTATCCCAAGGAAAAAAAAATCTCTTATTATTTAGATGGGATGGAATAACATACTAAATTTCAATCCATCCCAATTGATAATATGGAGAATCAGGAAATCTAATTCATTTAGCATCAATTTTTCATTTCGGGCACATTTGCACTATTTCAAATTCAGATAATGAAACAAGAGGTTTGAATAAAATTTGAAACATTCAGGGAATCCCAAGTTTGAATAAAATGTATTTAAATAAAATAAAATTTGAGTAACATTCCTGACAGGAATATATTTTAAGAAGTGCTATTAAACATACAGTAATTATCAGAACTGCTGGGATTAGCAAACCTGAATTTGTTCTGTGATTTTTTTTTTATCTCAACCATTCCTTTTAATGTAGTCATAAATTATCAGAATTCAAATATCTATATATTATCAATTTTACTTCATATTTATGTAACATTAAACATGACAGAAGCAAAGTTAAACTTTTGCTCATTCATTTTAGTATTCCTGTGCAGAACCCTATCGAGAAAAAAACAAAGAAAATGGACCCAAAACAAAACAAGTTTTGCAGTGAGAAGTGGACGTGGTTTTATTGCAAAATCAATGCTAGGTCAAGGAAGTTTCTCAAAGTTTAGAACAATATTTTGAACCATGTACTTTATATGGCCAATGAAGACAGAGGAGTGATTTTTATTGGAGCAACTTCTACGGATAACAATGTGAAGGTTTGAAAGTGTCTATTCCAAGAACAATTCAATTGAAATAAAAACTCTGATCTTTATCTTTGCTATTTTACAGCTTTTAAGTACAGATTAACTGAGGGACATTACACAATAAAGTATTTTACAATTATATCATCCTTCATTTGACCTTCCCAATAATAGTCTGGATCTTGTATTTATTTGTATATTTATTTTTATTTACTTATTCAATTTCTACAGCCACCCCCTTACATAAGTCTGGGCAGCTCACAAGAATTAATACAACAGGAACAATACACAAATTGAAATTTAAATGAATAATAAAAATAGAAGAGTATTGTATTTCCTTACAGATGAATGCATTCATTGTGCTACTTTACTTCTTTAATTCTGTGATATAATTTCCCTAAATTCTAAATAGGCTGGCATGTATGAAACATGTTTGTGTGTATAGTTAATTGAAATGCAATTAGCCAATCAATGAAATGCATGCCTTTATCAAAGATTTGAATGAATTCATTCTAGTGTGAAAAACATATGTCCTTTGACTTTTTTTACATTCTTTGACTCTGTTTCATCTACATCTCTCTAATTAGAGGTATGCAAATGTTTCCTTTCAAAACATTCTGAGTTGGAAACCTTAAAAATTGGCCCATTTATGCATGGAATTATTGTTGCTTTGTGTGTTCTGGGAGCATCATAACACAGCTCTGTTTGTAGCAAAATGCTCAGGGCAAGCTATCTTATGCCAAAATAGCAGGCTTCCACTCAGAATGGGACATTTCAGAGTTTCATATGTAAAAGTTACACAATGAAAAATGTGTGTTCCATTAATCTGGGGCAGTAGACATGAGTGCGCAAACACTGATACTGAATCAGTTTGGTGCTCTTTTACTCTTTTTTGTTTTTGACCGTTACAAAATCATATAGCAATCTTTTGGTAAATTGTTTTGCCTTTATTATTGATTCCTCATCTGGCAGCATATTCTTCTCCTTTCAGAAATTTTGTTTTTACCACATGACACAAATGAAGTAAACAAATTAAATCAAATAAAAACAAGCCATTAACGTGTTTAATGGATTTATAACTCTTTTTAAATATATATATATATATATATGATGGCTTCAATTCTTTACATTTGGAGTAATTGTCAGTATTTTCACATCTACATTCATCCTGCATAACTTTTTTCTCCCTCAGTCAGATAAGATTCATCCTCTGAGATGCTATTTGAAATGGATTTTTTGTCTCTGACTGGCAGAAGAAAAGGCACATCTTCAATCCCACATGCATTTCTGAATTCAAACCCAGGTTTTAGGCTTGTCTTCATCTAGGCTTAGCAATTAGTTAGTTAGCTGAGCTAGGATTCAGGTACTGAATTGCATAACCAACCCAGAAAAGAACAGAATAACAGAGTTGGATGAGACTTTGGATGACTTTTAGTCCAATCCCCTGATCAAGCAGAAGTCCTATACCATTTCAGACAAATGGCTGTCCAATCACTTTTTAAAAGCCCCCACTGATGAAGTACCCACAACTTCTGAAGGCAAACCATTCCACTGATTAATTGTTCTCACTGTCAATAATTCAATAAAAATCATTCTGGGACTGAAGATTTCCAAACTAATTTCATTTTAGCTACTGGAAAATGTTGCAAATTTGATAGTGCTCTGGCCAAATTATGCAGAACACTGATCCTTATTAGTTCAAAAAGACATCAGCACACATTCAGTTAACCTCCTAAGAAGCAGTCATACATTTATCTTATTAGTTGAAGAGAAGGGGAAAAAAAGAAAATCGGAGTTGACAACCAAAGTTTACCTTCATTATCCATCAGTGTCTTGTTTATGTCATTTATCAGTGTTTACACCAGGGGTGGGCTGCAGGGGGTTTGCAGGAGTTTGGGAGAACCTCTAGCTAAGATTCTGTGCAGTTTGGGGAATCCCCAAATTCCACTCCTGGCTGGCCCCACCCACCCCACCCCGCTCCTCCCAGGAGTCCCGACACAGCCCATTTTGGATGCAGGTAAGTGCAGGGCACACATGGAGGCTCAGGGAGGGTGAAAAATGGGTGTACTAGAAGTTCGGGGAGGCCAGAAACAGACCTGTTTCCAGCCTCCAGAGGGCCTCCGGAGCCTAGGGTGGCTGTTTTTGCCCTTCTGGAGCCTCGAGGAAAGCCTCCAGAGCCCGGAAAGGGTAAAAATACCACCTCCCGTGGTGCAGGAGGGCAACTAAGCCATGCCCACAATGGCCACGCCCACCCATCAACTGGTCAGAGAACCCTTTGATAAAATTTTTGAAGCCCACTCCTGATTTACACCTTTATTTACAATATAATAGCCACTGTAATATTTATGTTTTATTTATCCAGCTATGGTTTCCTCTTGCTCCTAAAAAAAGTTGGCTTTTCTTCTTTCACACATGCTCCCTGAGTGGTTTTGAGCAATTTTAAATTCACAGTATCCACTTTAAAAGTGATAGCAATACCAATAGCACTTAGATTTATATACCACTTCATAGAATTTTACAGCACTCTCCAAGAAGTTTATAGAGTCAGCATATTACTCTCAACAATCTGAGTCCTCATTTTACCGACCTTGGAAGGATGGAAGGCTGAGTCAACCTTGAGCTAGTCAGAACCGAACTCCTAGCAGTCAGCAGAATTAGCCTGCAATGCTGCATTCTAACCACTGCACCACCATGGCTCACATGATCACATGATATGCCTAGCTGTACAGTCATTTCAGTCTTCTTTATGTGTCTAAGACAGAGTGTGCATAAATGATTATTATCCTTATATGTTTATAATGTTCTAAATTGTATGAATACTTGGAATGCATAACCATACCAAAAAAAACATTTTACAATGATTTGACAGTGTGCAACTAAAGTATCTTTATTAGAAAATGGAACCTAACAAAAATATGATTTATTCTGGAAAATAATTTAGAAAAGGAATTTGTAGTAATGAATACATAAACACTAGAAATGCACATGAAAATGCAATGAATTATTTGCACCAACCTTTTGAAGTTGGGTAAATCATAGAAAAATGGTTAAAAATGTGCAGTTGATAAATTAGGAGGAGAAATTGAAAACTAAGGATAGTTCATGAATAATTTTTCATTCACAAAAATTATGGGAATAACAATGATATTAGAATAAAGATCTTAATTTTAGGAATGAAGTATTAGAATTTAAGAATACATTCAGTGCTGTTTTGTTTTTCCAGGCAAGGTAAAGGAAGTTACAGTATTAGAATGCTCTTCTCCCCACCACTCCAAAACCCAAGAGTAAAATGAGATTTCTAATCCAAGCTGAGTAGAGGATTCCAATTTTTTACAGCATAAGTAGAATCTAATAATTCTTAAGAATTTTGTATATTTTAATCCTGAACTGGTATTGCACTGAATTCTCTTCAAATTCCAGAATACCATTTAACACAACACAACCTCCACGTTCATTTGTGGCTGTCTCAGACAGTACAATTCTGACAGAAATTCTGAAAACAGGAATTAATTTTGCAATAGATTTACCAATTTTTAGTTACCAGAAGAGTAGCTATGTGAATAGAAAAGTTGTGTGATATATAATACATCTGTCACAGGAATATATTTAATAAAACATGACCCATAAAAGCTTTATGAATGCAACATGTATTATGAATTCTCAAAATTGTTTGAGGATTTTTGTTATCTTTGTTATGAACAATATTACAAAAGTGCTACTTCAATTTATGTCATTAAAACCACACAGAGTTTTTAAAAATACAAACAGCATTTTCAAATTTGAGTTTAATTGTTTTTACTTCAGTTGAATTTCCTACAATAAATTTTTTTCATTTAGTAAGTTAGTAAAGTTAATGATATATTATTAATAATTAATACATTAATAATTGTTGTAAGTAATTGTAATTTCATTAATAATCTTTACTGCTTTATTCCTCTTCATGTCAAATGAGTAGAATTCATGGACAAAAATAGAACTAACATGTTCGAATAGCCAGGTTTAGAATCTGGTTCATTGTAGACATTGTTTTGTACTTCAGATGACATTCTATTTGAAACAGGTACAAACCCCCACAAATTAACATTTTTAATTATTCGTCACTTACCTTTCACTATTAATTCTGCATAGTTTGAAACTCCTGATCCACCATCAGAACGGATTACACATCGGTATTTACTGATACTGCGTTGGGATGTATCAGCTACACTAACAGTAGCAGAAAAACGTCTATGGTTGACAACTCTGGTAACCATTAATGCTGTGTCTCTTCCATTCCACTGCTGTCACACAAAGAGAGGGAGAAAGATCTATGTAAGTATAACATGTTCATGAAAAGAGTATTCCTAACTCATGTTAATTTCTTTCCCTGAAATTCTTACAAAAACATGACATCTTTTCTCCCAAATGAATTACTTAAACTTGGTGTGTATTACTAAAATTCAGTTTCAGTTTAGGTCAAGAGTAGTAGTTACTATATATTTTACTACCTATCAACTACACGAGTAGTTCTTTCTCTCTCAGTCTTAGAGAAGAAAATCAAAACAACCACTAACCTACACTGGATTAGCCTGGTAGATTATGGTTTATAACTTTCAATGAAGAGGCCTTCATCCTGCAGTGGATTGAATCAGGCTGATAATAGATTGCAGTACAACATTGCTCCATTATAAAAGCTATCAATAAGAAAAGGTTGGATTGTAGAAATGTAAGATTCTGAAATGTGTGTCATTTATGGGGATTCAAAGGTCACCTAGTGGGTAAGATATATGATTTCATTTTCTTCCTAACAATATAAAGTGACTCATGCCTCCCTTTTGTAGATATTAGGCCAAGATCAAAAACTCATTGGATATAATAAAAGTATGCAGCCTGCACAATCCAGCCATATACTCCACTGAATTTTGCTTCAACATATACTATGGCCTTGCATTGCCTTCATTTTTTTTAAAACAACCGCCTTCATTTTTTTAAAAAAAGAAACCATCTTATTTATTTTGTTTTCTTTTTCAACATAGATGCTAGCTGTGAATTTAAAAAAAAACCTCTGATATATATGTTGTTGCTCTCAAGGACAAAAAGATAACACAGATGATTGGCAGGGTATATTTGTGCTGGGTTTAGAGACTGCTTATCAGAGACAATTTATTCAGCTGAAACAATAGTACAGTCAGTTCTTTGGAATAAATCTGGCAGTTTTAAACTGTAGTGGTAGCAGTAACAAGCACAACCATCCTTAAGAAAGCAGTAGCTGAGATTTAAGCTACTTTACAATTTCTAACAAAAGGTGTGATTGAGAATGATTAGGATCAGAATGTAGATTAATAAAGTGGTATGACTGAAATAAATTAGGTATGCAAATAAAATGTAGTTTAAAAAGACTTCAAGTAGAAATAAAGTAAGGCATCCTGAAATTTCCTCACATTGATCTCATCCCATCTTTTGAAAGATCAGCTTTCAGTGCCTTGCTTGTTTCTTTTTTCTTTACAGCCTCAAAATCAGATCTCTAATTCTGCTAATTCTGATTTTTCTAATGGGAACATAAGAAACATTTGGTGCATTTATGCAATAAAAATATATAAGTAAGTAGAGAAGAAATATAGTAAATAAATGCTATATGACATTCCCTATAAAATTAAACATTTAGCTGCTCGAGACATTAAGCATATTCAGCTAAATCATTTTTCAGGCCATAAATTTAAACCCCATTTTATATGTTCCAGAATGTTCTCTTACCCAAAAGGGAAATGATGAAAATATTGCACAGAAATTTTCCACTGGATTCAGAATATCTATTTGTTCATAGATGAGAAATATGGTTTGAAACTTCTAAAGAACATAAAAGATCCATTATGGTTTTTACCTGTAGCCACAATTTGTCATGCTGAGACCACTTTCCTCCTGCAATGCACTGGAATGTTGCATTCTGCCCAACATTAACCTCCACGTTTTGCAGCCGCAGGAAGTGAGGAGCTTTTCCTAACAAAAAGACAAAATATTACCAGGATAGAGCATCACAATGCATAATGATAGCAGAAATAGAATGAGAATCAGTCTTTCTTTCTTTCTTTCTTTCTTTCTTTCTTTCTTTCTTTCTTTCTTTCTTTCTTTCTTTCTTTCTTTCTTTCTCTTGCCAAGTTTCTCATAGAATAAATGACCTAGCAAAGCAATGCTAAGCCTATGTTTTGGTTTTCTTTTTTAAATGCAGACTGTCTTTGTTGTTCTAGCTAAGAAGATGAAAAGGAACACAATGACCACCTTACCATAAACAGTGTGCTATAAATAAATATTCCGTAACAAAAGAATCCAACATTTCCTAAGATATTCGATTAATTTTTAGTGGAAGCAAAAAGCAAATGCCCTCTGTAGAAAGATGGGTAAATAATGTTTGTTTTAAAAAGGTAGATATGAAGGAGTAAAAATTTTACAGCTACAACTAATAATTAGTAACAATAAATAATAATAACATTAGATTAGTTTGAAATTAACAAGATGAGAAGGAAGAGAGCAAGATGCACTAATGGGGGAGTGTTATTTAGTCCATTAGCTATCTCTATAATCATTTACTCCAATTGGGACCCCAGGCTAGTTGGCAGAGCCAGGTCTTCAGGCCCTTTCAGAAAGCTAAAAGTACGGGTGCAGATCTCATCTCAAGGGTCACAATTATCCAAAGGGCAGCAACCAATGCAGAAAAGGCTCTTCTCTTGGAGCCCACCAATCAAAATTGGTTGCCCGATGGGATTCTTCTGGTGATGGATAATGTCACCCAGCAGCTTCATGTAGATGTTTAAAAGGAGTGGAGAGAGAACTGAGCCCTGCAGCACACCACAAAAGGTTCAGTAATCTCTCCACTCCAGCTGTGGACTGGACCTCTCACTCCCTATCAGCACCAATTGGGACCTGCCTGCGACAAAGGAGCCAAAATAGAGCAAACTGCACTCAAACCCTGCAACCAACCCTAAAAGATACCATGGTCAAGGAGAACAAGGATGGATGCTCTACCCAGAAGATAGAAGTAAAAGGTTTATTCTACCAGTTATTTTAGAAACAATAATCCCAGACACAAAGAATGACATCACTATGTTTCAATGCCATACAGCTTGAAGCTATAACTCACTAGCAAATTAGTAATAAGAGCAACAATTCATTAAAATTTTATGCCACCCAACTCTCAATGACTCTGGGTGGCTCACAACAAAGAAATTACAATAAATCCAATAACATAAATACTACAGATAAAAGATGGCAAGTGCAATGCAGCAAGGAGTCTCATTTTCCCTTGCTAAAGATCTAGGAAAAGAGCCAGGTCTTCATAGCTCTTCTAAATTACAGCAGATATGAGGCCATCTGGATCTTGGATGGCACAGTTACTTTCAGGGGAAAGTTCCAATTGGCCCATTCACAGGTTTATATCATGTCCCAGGTAAAAAGAAGCACCCTGGCCATCTTTCATACTGGAGCTTTGCTTCCTGAATACCTGCAATATTGGGTTGCTTGTTTTCTTTTTTTCATAACGTCTCTGGCATTTCAAATATATAACCAAAGCAAATGATTTTTGTATATCAAAATCCATTTTCTCTTCATTGTATGAATACAATGCATGGATGCTATTAACTGACTGTTGCAATATTTTCAGGATCAGACTCAATAAGATCAACGAGAGTTAAACTGATGTTGCCAACTTTTTGATTACATTTGGTTCTGTGCTCCAGCTGCATTCCAGAGGCAAAGAATTCAAGATGTTCACCAAATTTACCTCTACTGAGTCATCTCAGAAAATTTATCAATTTATCTAGTAGTAAATAATATGCTAAGCCACAGAATTGGGACTGTAACTGATTACTTTAGAATGCACTAAAAGTGAAATGGGAGGTCTCTGATCAAGATTTACCTCAGATTTTAGCAATCATAGAATACAATCATGACCATAGTGATGGAGCAGACACACTTTTAATTTTTGTCACCCATTTTTATATTTAAATTAAAATCATTCTCCAAATGTCAGATAGCAAAATAAACATCCATAGTAAGGGAGACTAGCTAGTAACTGTCCACAACAATATTGTATTTCTGAAGAACCACATTCAGTCAATCAAGTTAAATAGTGCTATGCCATCCCTTTTAACTGGTCACTAATTTGTCCATGTCAAAATGTATTGAAGTACTAGCTCTTGGCTGAGGCAGGGTCATAGATCTATCATTTGTAATGGAGAGCCCTTGATACAAAGCACTACTGCTTTAATATATTTACAGCAAACAATTTTGACACTTAATGTCTTCCGTTCCCTCCAACTTCAGTGTACGGACCTGTTTAATTGGCAATAATTCTGCTATTTTAAGTCCTCTGGCACTTCTGAATTAGAACAAAAGAAAGCATTTACTAATAAGAGCAGGCAAAATCTGCTTGTTTGCATGCAAACCACACTAATCTACATTTCCCAAACTGATATGTAAAGCAGCATGTAATTACTTTGTGGGGGGGGTTTGCTGGTTTTAATTTATTTGAACATTTTGATACAATTCCTTAATCACAAAAAGACAAGAACAGTTAGGCAAAATCTCATGAAAAAATCACTACTAAAGGATGCTAGTTAGAGCCTCAGTTGTACCTATATTTTCTCTTCCTGCTGACTGCAATCGTGTTTCTTACAATAGATAATTTATGTTATGTTATGTTATGTTATGTTATGTTATGTTATGTTATGTTATGTTATGTTATGTTATGTTATGTTATGTTATGTTATGTTATGTTATGTTAGCAGTATATAATTTATATTATGTTATGTTAGGCTAGGAAAGTTAGTAACCTCTCTTTCAAGATACCTTTCATAATCTAATGGACAAATTCATGTAGTTTACTTGGTGACAAAAGAAAAAAATATTTGCCACTTAGTACCTGTGAAATATTATTTTAAATTTTTCACTCTTATCGATAGGCCTAGTATTTTTTTTAGTTGTGTCCTATTCAAGTAGTAAGAAGAATAGATCCTGTTTAGCTTTTCAAAATCACCCAGTTATTCATGAAATTCTTACTGGATGACTAGGCCAGTTACTATGACTTAGTTCACAGTGACTAACTTTATGCACAGAGGTTTTTTTGTTTTTTGTTTTGGTGATGGGATAGGCAGAGGGTTTGAAGTATAATGGAAATAAAGGGATAAAGGAAAGAGAATAAATGGGGCATAAAAATAAGATTCATTGGCATCCTTCAGTCTCAAAAGACTATGGTATTGTGTTCTGGAAAGAGATTCTAAAACAGCATCTAGTGTGACTAAAAAGGCCAATTCGAGAGTGGCAATCCTTTTCACACTGAGGGCACATACATTCTGTCCTCTGCCCAGCCCCCAGATTTCACTGGTTCCGGGACTATCTTTTTGCCTCAGCCTGCTGAACAAGTGTCTCTTCGAATTGGAGAAGGCCATGCTGCGCCTTTAGCCTCCAAGCTGAACGTCAGAGGTCAAGGTTTCCCAGTTGTTAATGTCCATTCCCAGGGCCTTTAGGTCCCTCTTGCAGATATCCTTATATCACAGCTGTGGTCTCCCTCTGAGGTGCTTTCCCTGCACTAATTCTCCATACAGGAGATCTTTTGGAATCTGACCATCAGCCATTCTCACAACATGCCCAAGCCAGCGTAGACATTGCTGTTTCATAAATAAGATTGTTGCTTTAAATAAAAAGTCATATATGTGAACAGAAGCACTTTGAAGTCAAATTTTCAATCTTCTACAGAATTTTGAACTCTGCAGATTTCTGAAATACAAACTAAGGTAGGACTCATTTTAATTGGTTTCAGATTTTTTTTTCTATAACAAGATATAAGAAGAACAGCCATTTTTAAACAACTGAGAGGGATTGATTTCTGCTAATTTGAGTGGAAAGAACTCAATGGGCTAACAGGGCTGTTGTTCTGCTCACAATCTTTGTATGCACTACCAGTGTATGTATGGACCGCCCATTATTACATTCAAAACTCATGCTTAAAATACCACTTCAGGTTCCTTTTTGCAATAACTGCAGTAATAATTATCATGTCATCACAGCTGAATTTAAACTTATCAGGAAAGCATGGAGACAAAATCTGTGAACAAAAAAATAAAAGGCTCCAGGTGTTTGGTAAGGATTCATAAAACACTGAATTACCAGTTTATCCATATCCTTCCTATAAAGATCAGACTGATGCTTAAATTTACTACCAGATAGAATAGAATAGTCAGACTGCCACAACTTTCTTAGTATAGATTTTGAAGAAGATTGTGAAATGGGCATCCCTTGGCCACTAGGATGGCCAAGGTATCTGAATTTACTGAAACTTATGATTCACTATGCCAAGAATATTATGGTAGTTTTTGAAGGTGGGAAAACTTCTTCATCACACATTAATAATGAGATTAAAATGCACCGAATAGATGAAAGCTTCGGAACCAACTTAAAGTAGTTTGTCCCAAAGGTCTTTTGAAGAGGCAACTGGACTTTTTGGTTTTTCTTTGAAGATGTTTCACTTCTCATCCAAGAAGCTTCTTCAGCTCTGGCTAGATGGTGGGGAATGGAAAGATTTATATTCCATGCAGAACACTGGTCGTTTGCATTCTTTTAGCGAGTTGTTAAGGCCACCTGGAAGTTTATCTGTGTCATCTGAGTGGTGCAAATGGATGTGGAACCTTCTTGGAATTGCTGAAAGGACTGTGTTGTAGACTGGAAATAGATGGTGTCATATCCCACCCCCTCTTTTGAGAGAGGGCTGTTCAATTTTGAAATAGATGGCCTCTTTGACCCCTCTTTCAAACCAACGGTCCTCTCTGTCCAAAATGTGGACTTTGCTGCCTTCAAAAGAGTGGTGGTCTGCTGACTCTAGTCATGTTGGGTTTATTCTCTTATGTTGTGCCATGCGTTTATGAAGTAGTTAAAGCAGTTTGATTCAAGAGTTCCAGCCCCATTTTGCAAGAGTGAAAAATGTATCCATAGTTGATTTGTATTATTTACATGATATTGTAGATGAGGGCTCTTCAACATTTTATCCTTTCAGTACACAGAAAGGTACACAGTACACCCTTATAACACAGAATCAATAAATAATAAACAAAGAAAGATCTGCAGCAAATTGTGGTGATTCCAACATGGCTACATGCAGATGATAATATCATCATACAAATGCCACTATAGGTAGCCCTCGACTTGCAACAGTTTATTTAGTGACCATTCAAAGTTACATCACTGAAAAATATGACTTATGACTGTTTTTCACACATACAACCACTGCAACATCCCCATGATCATGGGATCAAAATCTGGATGCTTGGCAACTGACTGATATTTATGACGGTTGCAGTGTCCTGAGATGATGTGATCACTTTTTGCGACCTTCTGACAAACAAAGTCAATGGAGAAGCCAGATTCACTTAATCACTTCATAACATAACAGCTGCAAGGATGAGGTAAAATTCACTTAACAACTATCTCACTTAGCAAAATAAATTTGGGGCTCTATTGTGGTCATAAATCAAGGACTCTCTATATTATGTTCTGATGTTTTGACATCAGACGCGTAAGTTAACGTATTTGCATAATGACCTTGTCACACATTTTCGTCATTTATCACTTTAGAGATACCTACACTGGCAAAGTAAGTTGGGGGAAGATTGCATGGCCCAAAGTGAGAAACTAACTCTTAAATTTTCTGGGATTTATCTAAAAATCTATACTTAGCTTTTCCCTGTCGGTGGGACTAAAAATGCTTTAGTCTGCTTACTTTGTCCTAATTATTAAGCTCTCCATAGAAATAAAAAAAAAGTCAGATAATTCCCATGATCATACAAAATAGCCTAAATTAAAATTAAAATTCATACTGTGTCAGTTTGTTCTTTACTGTTATAAACTTTAATGTCAATTTGATACAGATTCCTAATTGAATGCCTTTAAAATAAATCTGAATAGAACAGCTGAAAGAAATACAGTAGCCTCGGAAATGTAGCAAAACAATCTGACTTATTTCTCTATTTCACAGTGTGAGTCACATGCTTTGAAAGTTATATATATATATATATATATATATATATATATATATATATATATATAATTATATATATATATATATATAAATCTTTCAAAAAGGAACTGCAAAGATTTACATTTCTTTAAAGAAAAACACTCCAGGCCTTTCTTCCCAGTTGAATGTTGCACTAATTTGCTTAGTTGTGTTCACGAACGTTCTCCTCCCTACCCCAACTTTCTCTCTTTAAGTTAATTCTATAGGGAATCACTAAAACCCTGTAATTCTCTCCCTTCAATGGTCCTAACAATCAGGGGCTTTATTTCCCTTTAATAATGGTTTAAAATCTTGGCACTTGCTGCACATTTGAAGCAGCTTTGCTTGTTGTACAACTTGAGAAATTATGTATTTATTCAGGGTTGATTGCTTCCACTCCGTAAGCATTTGGAATAGATAAAAGGAAATGTTTCAGAACTGACTAAATTGGGTAAATTACTCATTTGAACATGAAATGCATGGCTGTGGTTAGGAGGGAATGGGGGGAAAAGAGATGCTTACTGCATGGATGAGCAAGGACTCTGACTTCATCCACAGCTATGTACCCGGGGTGACCCTTCAAGGAAACCGATTCAAATATGACCTGAAATTCATAGGAGACAACAAGCTGATTAAGTAAACAATTGAAAATTATACACAAGACATCCCTCTAACATACCTTAAGTACAAAGGGTTCAGATTCTGTAATAGATGCTTTACAGATAGTCCTTGTTTAGCAAACACAACTGGAAACACTAACTCGGTTGTTAAGCTAAGTGACTGCTAAATGAAACTACAACTTTGTTTATGATCTTACTTCAGTTTCCCTTTGCTTTACAAACCTGTGAAGGTCAGGGAAGGATTGGCCATAACCAGGGGTGGGTTGCTGGGGGTTCGCAGGGGTTCACGAGAACCTTTAGCTAAGATTCTGTGCAGTTTGGAGAACTCCCAAATCCCACTCCTGGCTGAGCCTGCCCACTCTGCCCCGCCCTTCCCAGGGGTCCCCACGTGACCCATTTTGGATGCAGGTAAGTACAGGGCACACACGGAGTCTTGGGAGAGATGAAAAATAGGCCTACCAGAAGTTCAGGAAGAGGGCTTCCAGAGCCTGGGGAGACCATTTTCGCCCTTCCGGAGGCTCAATGAAAGCCCGCAGAGCTTGGGGAGGGCCTGCCCCTCCCTGCTATGGTGCAGGAGGTCAACTAGGCCACACCCACCATGGCCATGCCCACCCAGCAACCGGACAGAGAACCCCTTGCTAAAATTTTTGAAGCCCACACCTGGCCATAACCATTGTAACTGAATAGTCACTAAACAAGGACTACCTGTATTCCACAGAGCAAGCCACTCAGTTCCCAAATTTACATATGTAGATATACATAATCCCTTTCAAAGACCCTCCTCCAAAATGTGTGCAAATATGCATGTATGTAAAACACCATACATTAAAAATCGGAAATAAATATAATCATGAAGCCAGCTAAATCTTAATTAAGTCCCAGAACTATGATGGCAGAAAGAATTATATATTATAGAATGGGTTAATGGCCAGGCAATAAATGGTTAAAAAGAATGTGCTACAGAAGAAACCTGAAAAGCATGTACAAGATTTTATCAAGATGCTTCAAGACAAGTTATGAAGGGATATAAAGTCCTTGAAAATATGTTTTCTGATAAGATTCTTCAATTCCCTATAGTTATGGAAAGGTCATAGAAAACAACATCTTGATGAGGTGGTTAACTATCAGAATTTAATGAATGATAAGGACAAAATATGTGAGGCTAAAGTAACCGAGCAATCAAGATGATGTAATCCAGCATTGTTTATAAAAAAAAGAGCTAGAGGGAAGAGAAATCTGAAGTGTCATTTTTTATTCCGTCAAGATTCAGCCTGAAGGACACTCCAAGGTTATTTCCCATGCTCTTTCATTGCCTGGCAACAAGAAGGATCTTTGATATGTAAGGGCTAAATGATGGATGTTCATATGTTGCTAGAATACAGCTTTTAAAATCTACCAGAAATCTACCCATAGAATTGTTGGATGATGTTGTTGGATGGTCCTAATTCTATAACAGAGGACAAACCTTTTCCTTAATACTGAATTGGTTGAGAGTAAGAGAAATATTAAGGAAATCATGGTGGACAGAGGTGTTGAGATCCACAAAAAGAGAAAAATGATAAGTTTAAAGCAATGTATGAAGCAATGTATAGACATTGTAAAAATAAATGGTTCCTGAACAGTGGTGGATTGCCCCCAGTTCACACCGCTTCTATAGAACCGGTAGTAAAACTGGCGGGAGGCTCCTCCCACCGACCCCAACATCATCAAAATGCTTCTGTGCTTGCGCAGAAGTGTGCGCGTATGCGCGAGTGAAGCAAGCACACACACACGGTCCCATTGCGAACTGGTAGTAAAGGTAAATAGAACCCACCCCTGTTCCTGAACCATTTTAGTGTCATGAAGGTCTCTGAGTTTTCTATTCTTATTTTCTCTGTGTTCTCTGATTGGTTGTTTTCTTGCAGACATTTCATTATCCCAATCTAGGTAACATCATCAGTGCTAAAATCAATGAATTTTAGTGTCAACTAGTATTATCTGTATTTATTTTTATCTCATGCTTTTAAATTTTGAAGCATAGTATTTCTTTTTTGGGGGGATCCACATAGCAACACCCTGAAAAAATTATCATGCACAGTGAATGATTAATACATGTATGTGTTCAGGTTGTTCCAAATGGTTTATACAAAAGACAGTATTAGTCACTGTGATTTTGGCATTTCCCAAACAAGTAGTTCAGTCATGACATAATTATCTAATTTGTTGTCAACATTAAGATTCAGAAAGAGCAATTTGGGGATTTTTTTTTTAAAAAAATCAGATTTTTCATTCCTTTAGGGGTAAACTTCAAAAGTCATTTTAAAAATAGGTACAGCCAAAACAAAACTTTGGGTACTCTCTGTCCACTTCTTTCTGCTCCTCAATTTCCCTAGAGAAGGAAACTTCCCTTTTCCTTCTCACTCAGTCATATGACTATGATTATCGATGAAAAAGAATGGTAAATAATATTCAAGAAGCTGAATATAAGAGAAAAATATTTATTATAAGTGATTGAAGATGCTTGGCTATCCAAGTTTAAAAGAATTTAGGACTACCTGTCAGACTTCCTTCTTAGGTTCCCAATGGATGGATTTAAAGAAAATACCCCATTTCAATTTAATGTAGTGTATATAGTGTCTGAGTCTGAGGTTAGTCTCATTGTCTGCATGGCAAGAAAAACCAGATTGTACAGATCAGTAGATTTTAGCTCTCACCCTGTTAGGATACATTCATATATTTGATTTGTGAATTGTGGCCATTTTAGTTAATTTTCTTACTATTAAGGTACTATTAAGGGGACACATATGTCCCCTTGCACATATGTGCTAGTTGTTCCCAACTCTAGGGGACGGTGCTCATCTCCGTTTCAAAGCCGAAGAGCCAGCCGAAGATGTCTCCGTGGTCATGTGGCTGGCATGACTAAATGCCAAAGGCGCACAGAATGCTGTTATCTTCCAACCAAGGGTGGTCCCTATTTTTTCTACTTACATTTTTTTTTTTTTGCTAGGTTGGCAGAAGCTGGGACAAGTAATGGGAGCTCACCCCATTACGCAGCACTAGGGATTCGAACTGCTGAACTGCCAACCTTTCTATCAACAAGGTCAGCGCCTTAGACATTGAGCCACCACGTCCCATTATTCCTCCACAAACGAAGGTGAATATAGTGTCCCAGGATAATTGTTGTAGGACCCAATCTGGGTCAGTCACTGGGTCCAAAGGTTTAGTCTTCTGAGCTTTGGGCTCCAGCATGAGTATGAAAGCTCAGAAAATTAAACCTCTGGTCTTGGTGACTGACCCAGATTGTATCCTGCATGGTTACTATCCTTTTCCTCCTCCTCCAAGTTCCTCAAGGATCAGGTTGTGATGCAGAAATGTCACTAAAAAAGATTGGGCTAAATGGTGGATGCAGTTCATTTAACAAAAAATAGTTTAGCCCTTTCTCACTTCCAATTGCAAAATTGAAAATAAATTAATTAATTAAAAAAACCAATAGAAAATGAGCAATTTGCTCTTTAAAAGCTACAGAGGCCCATAGGCTAAAGGTAAAAGAAAAGAAATCTCAAGTATACCTGATAAAAGTGTGGCCAGAAAGTACTGATCGCAAGCTCTGCTTTCACCCAACCTTCTGTAACAAGCCCAGAGACATTCCAGATAGGGTTGCCTTGAGGTCCACCATTCACTTTCACATAAACATTCAAGGATCCAGGGCTAGAACGGTCACGGCTGGACAAGTAGTAATGGAAATCAATGCAGTGAGTGTCGTTTTCCTTCAGTGTTGGTAAAAGCAAGTGAGCTTTTTGCCCAGATGCCCTCCCAGAACTATTCACCATCATGAAGGAGCCTAAGAAGAAAGGGAAAAAAGAGAAAAGATCAGTAGTTCCTTGCCTCAATAGTACAACTAAATTAATTAAAGAGTCAATATAGTTCTAAATAACTGGGCCAACAGTCAGAACTCCAAACAGCTGTTAATTTTCTCAGATCTATTACTATTATTATAATTCAGCACTTTTCTGGAGAAAAGAAAAACACCAGGAATGACAAATTCTTTTGTATCCACTGCTTGCATCATCAGCTAAAGAGGACCCTTTGTTATTATTTTCAGATTTTTCTACCTTGGATTTCAAACTGTCTGACAGGAAAATATTGACTTCAAATATGAAGAGCGCATCATATTCCCTTTTCACTCTACTGAAGTTACACTACCAGACTCTTTTGATTGCATACACAAACACTATTAAGCTGTCTGTTTTTGTAACATGTCCATATTTATAGATTACACTATATCAAGAATCCTACAATTTGGGAGGTCAGTTAAATTTTTGGAAAAACCCACTGAATTGTATTAGGTAGAGTTTTCAAAATGATTGTTTCAGTGGCATGGCTATTGACACAGCTCTCATCTGCAAGATGGAAAACTGGTAATGGTAGAAGAACCATATTTACTAAGGAGCCTAACTATAAGGTGAGAAATAAAGCTCAGAATTTAAAACCACTCTTTGGAATCATCATTTTTCTGCTTCAACAGCTTTTGAGAGAGAAACTGATAAGGTTTGGAGATTATGTGTCAGAGTGGTTTAACTCCAAATTCACACATTTGTTCCTGCAAAAAAAATAACTAAATGCACAGTAAATCACCTTTATACCTTTTACCCAAAAAAAAAAAAAAAAAAGTCCACAGATATATTCACAGATATATATGGTAGTTAGCAGAACTGAGATAAACTCAATAAAAGTGTTATCTTTTAAAACTGAGAATACATTTAAAAAGTTTCATTCATATTTGCACAAAGTCTAAGCAAAGAAAAAAGTATGCCAAAATAAATAAACTAACAAAACACCCACAACCACATACATATTTACCCACCTCTTGTTCAACTTCAGAAAAACTAATTTTTATATTATAAGTTATTTTACAATTTTGATGCATGATTTCTACAATCAACTTATTTCTATCACATGTCTACTTCACACACTCTCCATCAGTGATATAAACTGTCATCTGGTAACATTACTATGGTGATAAAACACTAATATGAGCAGGGTTGGTATTCTTAAAGCAATGGCTGAGTGATTCTATAAATCACCTGCATGGAAGACATCATGGACTTTTTGTGCTATTTGCTGTAGTTGCTGACTACATAGTTCAATAAATAACCAACTAACCCTGAGATTAGCAATCTAAGCAATTGCCCGGATCCTTGCTTCTAAATTATCCTTGGTGGGGGGGAAAGTGTTCCACAATTTGATAGTAGAAGTTCTTCCTAAGACTTGATAAATCCAGAGACTTCAAACTATTCAATGTTAATCCAAGTAGCTATATTTTATTCATTTGTTTATTTGATTTATATGTCTACCCACCTTGTAAAACATAACTCTGTGTGGCTCACAACAATAATAAACACCATAACAAAAAAATAAAAACCAAAATAATTAGGAACCTGACCTACCATTGCCAGTCAATCAATCAATCAACCAACCAACCAACCAACCAACCAACCAACCAACCAACCCAATAGATTTCTATGTCTCACCAGATGACAACACTTAAGGGATGGAACCTGGAATGTGCCCACTCTATTTAACCTAGGCAGATATCTTTGGGGAGAGGCAGTTCCTCAAATAATTTGAACTTGTGCCCCATATGCCCAGCACTTTGAATCAGGGTGCATTCATTTCATTTGCATCCTTTTAGTTTAGTTTAGTTTACTTTATTATCATTGCACATGGTAGAATGAAATTAAATGCCATCTTCAGTGTACATTATAACTGTAAAAAGAAAAAAGAAACCAAACATACATTCAAAGGAGGCCTAACTACTAAATGATAGTTGAACTCACTTTGGAAAAAGTTTTCTTTGAAGAAATCTTCACAAAACATGTCAACTCTAACTGTACATCTTTTTGTGCAAGTAAAAAAGCACTTCTCCTTTGTTGTTGATGTTGTCCTTACCAGAGCTGTCATTTAAATAAATACTGAGTTGGGAGTAAGGTCCTTTGAAATTAATGGAAGATATGATTCAGCAGTAGTAAAACGTCCTGGTTTGCAGATAAAGGATGGACAAACTATTCCAACACGGCCAGCCTTTTAATTAGTTGCTTAGGGCAAGACTCTTCAAATTTTCTGTATAAGATAGGATTCAGTAATAGAAAGTACCCTGGGTTGTGGGAACACAATATAGGCAGGCAAACTATGAAAGATACAATTCTGTGCATGCATACTGCAAACTGAGTTCAGTGAAGCTTCTTCATTTATGAAAAGTCCTTCTTTCTCTCCTCGGATCTGCCTATGTGGAAGTCAGGTGTCCAGTCTCTCTGGCAGTCAAAGCCAAAATAGTTATACTGTAGTCCTGAGGGAGCAGCATGCCTGTAGCAGTTTCATGTAGCCAAGAATGTGAATAAATCACAGATCCTCACTACATCATCAGCAGCATGGTTGAGGAAGATAAAAATCATTTGTATAGCAAAATACATAGTATTAGGAAAAGAGAGGAGGAAAGACTCCTAAATTTGAATATATACTGCCTATAAACTGATGTTGAGGCAGAGGTAACATAAAAAAATCGTTTTTTGATTTGACATTGTTGTGCTTTGATTATCAGGGCATCTTTTCCTATTTTCCTCTAATTATCCTTTTCCTATCTAACTGGTCTTTGAAGTAGCTTCTTCTTTCTCTTTTTGTGTCTTTTTTTCTTTTTCAATCTGCCTCCAGCTTCCTTTCTTTCTTTTCCTCTGCTGCTTTCCCATTCTTCCTCTTTTCCTTCTGGAGAATTGTTAAATAAAACAACACTTTTTTTTCCCTTTCATCATTTTTTAAATAAAAAAAAATACCATTTGAGCTATGATTCCCCAAGTCCTGACTTTGTCTCTTTTTCTTTTTCCTTTTCAAGGAATGTTCAGGTGAAACTCCATGGTCTGAGTCATGATGGGTGTCACATTATATGTTATTGAAGTGCCAAGTTGAAACAAACATTGGGTGGGTACTACAGGCTAGGCTTGCTGGGATATGATTCTCTTTCCTTTCCTTTTTATGTCATCTTTTCCCTCTTATTTTCTGATTCCTTTTTTTCTTTTATCACCCTCCACATCTTGGGAGCTACAAAGGAAGAAACAGTTTCTGCCTGCCTAGGATCTGAATTTACCACTTACAAAGTTTCTGGAATTAGATCAAGGGCCACCTGAAGTTCATTAAGACATCCAGTGTTCACAAGGAGCTTAATCCTCAAATACAGACAGTTCAGGCAAAGCTAAATTATTGCAGACACCAGATGAGCAGAGATAAACTCTTGATGTTACATGCTAAATTACTCTGGAATTAAATACATGATTTACATCAACTTGCCATTGTGGGAAAATATTAATAGAGGCAAATAACCAATGTAAATGATTGTATCCTTCTTTGCTGTTTTTCTTCTTCAATACATATATGAAATCCATGGATCTATGTAGGAAAATAAAGTTACTATTCTCAACTAATATTTTTTTAAATTATTCTCTTTCTTTTTTATGTCACCTTTTCTCTTTCACTTTCTGATTCCTTTTTTTTTTTCCTCTCTCTCTTTTATCACCCTCCACATCCTGGGAGCTGTAGAGGCAGAAACAGATTCTGCCTGTTCAGGATTTGAACTTACCACTTACAAAGAGTTTTTAAAATTAGATCAAGGACGACATGAAGTTTATTAAGGCATCCAGAAACACAATTGCTTTTTTTTTTTCTATTCAGAAAGTACTTTTCTAGAGAAGAAAGGTCCAAGGGAGTATTTGACCTAGAGATAATAAAAAATAATAGTTGCATGAATTTAGAGAAGTACCATTGGGGTCAGGAAGAAAATTAGACCCATTGGCATTCCTGCAAAAAATATTCATACGTATTTTCCCCAGTGGAATAGATTGTAATACCTTTATGCCACACAATATAATAATAAAATAATTAAACCTTTGTAACCCATGGCAGATTATTTGCAGAGAATCCTTTGTAGTTGTCCATCATTGCCCTTTGTTACTAACATTATAAATGATTACGCATTAAAAATAATGAGAATTATTTATTTTATTCTCTTTAAAGAATCTACTTTGGGGATGTCTGTAAACATGTCTTCAGGAAAACAAGCAACAAGTAATCACAGATTGTAGGTAGGGGAATGAGAGAAGGAGAAAAAAAGGAAATATCCATTTCAGCAGTCACGCATAGTAATTTTTAATCAAATGCAACCCCTCGTGACATTCTCATTCTGAGATTGCTGCCAAGTCATTTTATAGATATATTTCTCTGCTGGCCTTCTTGCAATTCACAGAAGATTGAGTTTGGAAAGCCTTGCCTTATTTTTAAGTTACTGAGTCCCCCCTGTTTTTTAATTTTATTTTATGTGTTATGTTGTTACAGTGCAACAGACAAGCCACAGAAACATTCTGATCATTTTTGCCCAATGTGCAGCCATATGCATTGTATTAGAGGGAGACACTTTGGCAGCATTTTTGTAAATAACTTTTATGTTACTGAACTATACATATGTATGTATCCCAGTTGTGGTTTTCAAAATTTTTACTACCGGTTCTGTGGGAGTGGCTTGAGGGGGGCGTGGCTTCGGGGTATGGCTTGGGGGGCATGGCAGGGGAAGGTTACTGCAAAATCCCCATTTCCTCCTGATCAGCTGGGACTTGGGAGGCAGAGAATAGATGGGGAGGAGTCAGTCAGAATTTTTACTACCAGTTCTCTGAACTACTCAAAATTTCCACTACCGGTTTTCCAGAACAGGTCAGAATCTGCTGAAACCCACCTCTGATATATATGTATTTGGCATATCTAATGGGTAACACATATATAGACACACAAACATGCATACAT